GCAGGGCTCGCTTGCTCCCACGGATCCCGTTGGTGTTACATCGGACCATGGTGAACAACCGGACAAGATTGTCAACGACGGAGAAATCGAAGGCCTCGATTGGAGTGATGCTCAGCTCAGAGAACAGATTCACTTTATATGGACAAGTTGAACTTTAGTCTCCCTGATGAAGATGATGATTTTTGGTCTGTCTACGATGATCAAGAACTTGAAAAGCTCAATGAACAGCTTGCCCTGCACCGCATCAGAGCTCACAAGGTATCTATTAATACTAACACATTACACATGGGATGTGGGAAGACACTGCAAATATTATTTCTGCATATTTGAGTTCATGCCTCCACCCTGGTTTGTTTTAATTTACTTTCTGCACCTTCCATAGATATCAGAGGGAGCACTGCTTGAGCAACTGGTCGATGAAAAGTTGATTCAGGAGTACCCTCCAGCCATTCTTGAGGACCAGGCATACTTTGCGTGGTATGAGAAAGATTTTGAATGGTACTTTGATCCCAAATGCTGCAGCTTTGTTGGCTTCCAGGACTACCAGCGTCTCGTCCTTCGTCAAGATGTACGTAATTTTACTCCTTGCAACTATGTCAGTGTTCATTTATCTTGTAAAACCGTATTTTGTGGCCATAACAACTTTAATTTGGGACTGTGTAGAGCTTTTGTGGAAGGGTAGTCTCCTGTAGACTTAGACTCCAAGATTAGTTTACCCCCGATAGTGGTGGGCGGTGGCTTGCTTGTCCAGCACCTTGCAAAGGCTGTTCCTCAATGTTCACCACTCATCTGATAACAAGACGCAAGTCACTGCAGTGGTGTATCTAGAAATTTAAGTGTAGGGTATAGTCATATATCATATAATTAAGTAGTAATGGATGCACTTCATTTCTGGACCTGCATTTGATTCCGCTTGCGCTGTTACTAGCAAGCCATTTCTTACTGGCAATGTTTTCTGTGTGCAGACACAGTATCTACACTGGGACGATTATCATAAAACTTACATGACATACCAAGGTGACCAAGAATACGTCAAGTTCTATGAAACGGTATCAAGTGAAACTAAGGTAGGAATTTGGTGAGCAGCTGTAATTAACTGGTTATATGTCATCTTTGTTTGATGGTTTTTTTTGTTACATGCAGTGGCTTGAAAATTTCGTGGAAGCCAGCACGCATGAGGTAGGCATCCCCCAATAAGTATCATGTGGTTAATGTGCTAACTGAATGTATATTGTTGCTATAATCTCATGCATCACATTCTATAACTACTTTGGTTTTTAGTGGCAAAGGTACGAGACGTTGGCAATGTATAACTACTTTGGTTTTTAGTGGCTGTAACAATATTCTTCCAACTTTGATTTACACTGGCTTCAATGTAATGCCCTTACCTCACATTAATAGTGGTTGCTGCAGGTGTATGGTATTTGACAATTCTATATTTTTTTATGCAGGAATATTTGTCAGCGTTAAGTGTAATAGTATATATGAAGATTTTGCTAGTCTCTATTTAGAGATTTGGAAACGGGTTGCTAAGGAAAAGGTTTGATACTTGGCTCAGATGCTGAACTAAACAACTTATGGTTCCTTGTTTAACATTTTCTCCAGCTGTACATGTTTATGACAAAAGTTTCCTTTCTTCAACATTTCCTAGATGAGTTTTCTAAGTGCTGTGAAGGAATTGCATGATCAAGACATATGTGCCCCATGCCGTATCCAATTGAAAATTGAGCTTGGTTATGCCCCAAGATCTGGTGGGCTGAGAACAAACGTAGGTTGCTCTTCTTCGTAGATGTGGTCCAGTGTTTTTCACTTCATCTTGCTATAAAATCCCATTGAATTTTCTCCGTTTAGTCATTACATGACTAATTCTTTCATATGCTCTAATTTTCAGTATGATAAATATCTGGCTGATCTTAATGGAGAGGTAAGCTTTCCTTTGCCTAAAGTCAAAGTCCAAGTCAAATATTTCTCTGCATACAGAGATGCAATTCGTGTCTGTAGGTTGAAGAAAACGAAGCCCATTCAGTGATCCTGGAAGCTGTTAACAAATTTGTTAGTTTTCCGTCTCTTTTGAGATTCATATATCCTTACTATTCTGTCCTTTAATGCATGCATGTCCAAGCTAGCTTTATCTCGCTCGCTTATATGAAAAAGCTAAATGGATTTTCAGGTTCCAAGACAAATGACATATTATGATTATGCCAGAAAGAAGTTGGATATCGCAAGAAGAAACGGTGTGATACCCCTGCAAAGTATGTACCAGTTTGTTTTATACATGAATATCATACCTCTTGTATAAATAAAAGATTAGAAGACCCTTAATTTATATCGTTTCCTGTATAACTTGTCTGCAGGCTGCATGCTAGCAAACAATTCAGATGTCACTGCATAAAGCAGGGGAGTTGACGGAGAGAAGTGCAAGAAACAAACCAGGCCATGGATGTTGATACGCCCATACACCTGCTTGCTTGACCATCTGTCTTATAATGTACCCATAGTTGATATTTAAATGCATCTCTAAATGTTTAGCAAGGGCGAAACATTTAGCACGTGTAATGGCACGAGAGTAGGCTTAGGTAAACCGGGTTATTAGCCGGGATGTAAAACTTTCCTCTATCACTCAAAGCAGTTCGTTCAAAAAGAAAATAGAAATGCATGCACTTGAGGATCAACAGGAACTGCATTCTGGCTTGCCGAAACTTGAGTCAGTAGCTATGCAATTTTTTTTGCCTCTCATGGATGGACGTTGTTTTTTTTAGGATTGGTCAATAATGTCTAACTCTGTCACAATGTTTCTACAACTTTGCGAGCGAGTTTAGCTGCGGCTGTCTTTGTAATAATTTTGGATTGATGCCTTATCTTGATAAGGTAGAAGCCGAAACAATTTCCATCATCTAAAAAAATTAAATAAAAAGTGGCAAAAGAGAAGGCTTGTCACTCCTATGTGTACCCAAGTGCGCGCCATGGTCCTTGGGATTTTGGAGGGCCCTGTCCTCCTCAGCAGCTTGGGAGTTGGGTAGCGTCTGGTTGGAGACAAGCTAGATGGGATGGACCTGTATCCGATGTTAAAGATGGGATGGTCCTATCTAGTAATTGGGTGGGAATAATTTCATCCCTATTTTATGTTTGGTGAGATACCCAAAAGCGGGAGACACCTATCAGTATTATTTTCTTCCTACCCTTTATCTCTTTCTTGAAGGAATTGCATGATCACACATCCCCCCATGCCGTGCCAAGCAACACCCTTGGCACGACTGCAACACCCTACACACCTCCCTTCTTGTCGTAGATGTGGTCAGTGTTTTTTCCTCATCTTGCTTGCGCCACTATCCTCCGGCTCTTGCGTAGCCACCCTCGCCGTCAATTCTCGAACGGCCACATCTAGTGCTCGTGGCCATGCCTCGCCTCTGTAGGTTGTAGATCGAATGCCATTCAGTGATCCTGGAGATGGAGGTCGTCACTTCCGGAGAATGATGGAGGTGACTCATCTTATCCTCTCAAGGCTTTGCGTGCTTTAGCCAAGGGCGCCATCCCTGTGGTACAAGCTCACCCTCCCAAATTTCAGGGACGAGCTGGTTCCGTATCTTGAGTGAATATGCCAAGTGAGATGACTCCCTTCCCGACTCTAACCTAACCCACTTTAAAAACAGATTCATGTCGTTCCATCCCCTAGTCCTTCCTACCAAACACTCGCTTCTTAAATCGACTGTATAACTGCAGGCTGTGACCCAAATCGGATACCCATTTGACCGCTTAGTTGAGGTGAGAAGTGCAAAAATATCCGACGCACCCCATTCTTGACCTCTCCAACGATGAGCCCCAAATCCCCACGCCCTCATCTCTCTTCTCTCCCTTAGCAAAATGTAAGCGCGAGAGTAGGCTTAGGCCGGGTTATTAGCCGGGCAAACTTTCCTCTATCATGACGCTTAGAAATGCATGCACTTGAGGATCAACAGGAACTGCTTCTGGCTTACCGAAACTTGAGTCAGTAGCTATGCAAGCTATCATGGATGGACGCTGCGCTTTAAGCTGGCCTTCTTCCCTCCCTCTACAACTTTGCGCCGGATCCGACCCCCCTGGATTGATCCCCTTAAGGTAGAAGACAATTTCTCTAAAAAATTAAATAAAAAGTGGTAAAGAGAAGGCTTGTCACTCCTCTGTGTACCCAAGTTGCGCCATGACTTTCTGAGATCCTGAGTGGGATGGACCTGTCTGCCAGATCCGGCTGGTGGCTCCAGCAGCAGGAGTTGGGTGGCTCAAGCCGATCCTGCATGGGATGGTCCGTCTAGTGGAGGAGATGGCGGAGTGAGGAGGATGGCGTGGCCAAGGAAGGCAGTCGCATCACACATCCCCCAAGGGGCTGCAACACCTTGGCTCAGCGGAGCAAGCTTCGCCTCGCCACATCCTCCGCCTTGCATAGCCGGCCAAGGTGGGCCACATCCAGGAGGAGGCGTTGCGCCTGCACTGTCGCTGTAGCTCGAGATGGGGTCCCCGGAGAACGATGGATGTTTGCGTCGTCTCTCTCTGGAGAGGCAAATGCCTTCCGACTGGCCGAGCACCCAAAATGCGTATCCGGTTTTGGATTTTGACTACCAAAAACACTGTGCAGTGCGCATTTTGCGTTTGCGTTTGCGTTCCGTCGTCGGAGACAGTCTTAACAAGCGGTATAGAGAGACATGTACGGCCTATGGGCTAAGGCCCATAGCAGCGTTAACAGATGTAGCCCAGTACAACCCTGTTTCCCCTCCTGGTTCCTAGCGGGATCGCGTCGCGGAGTCGCAAAAATCAACACGGCTGCCCCGGTTCTCTGCTCCTCGCACCAGCGTGCTCCGCCCCAACCTCTCGCGCGTCCCTGCCGCCGCATCTGCCACCCTCGGCGACTCCTACTGACAAGGCAACCCCGCCTCTCCCGCAGCGGCGCCGGCCAAGCCCAAGGCCCTCGCTTCGACTCCCACTGCCAAGGCACCAAAGGCCACAACCGTGCTCCCGTGCCCCCCAAAATGCTCGTCGCGGCACCGGCCCCAGCCCCAGCCCCGGAGACCAAGCGCATCCAGACCTTCGCGCCAACCAAGGAGGAGAAGCCACCCTCCTCCTCCAAGGACAAGAAGAAAGAAGAGCAGGTACCACTCACGCGGCGAACCAAAACAAATAGCGTTTACAGTTCCCTGTAATAGCTAGCGCCGGCAACTGATTGCATTAGTGTTCCCATACGCGTTGCTGAACCAAACAAAGCGCCGGCAACTGATTGCTTTAGCGTTCCCTTACGCCTTGCCGAACCAAACAACATCTTAGGCTGAGGTTGATCAAGACGTTCCTATGCCACAGTAGTACTACTTGTTGCATATGAGCATATTTCGATGAGTCTTGTGTATGATGGATTCAATATACCACCCTTTTGCATGCCTTACCTCGCTAGTACTACTTCTATTGACCTAGTACAGAAGAAGCCTTAAATTTTAACACCAACTTGCCACACAATCAGTGATGGATGGACAGAAAAAAGCATGATAAATATTTGACTGGAAAATATGTCTTAGAAAAATGTTATGTAAGATGTCTTAAACTATACATGTTATCTCTGTAACAAGTCTTTCGATTGCCTAAGAATATCTACATATAAAGCCTGAACTAGAACAATTTAAATGTCCGTGATCTTGCAGGTCTTGCAGCAGCAAACAGAAGAAGACATGATAAGCAAGTTAGTTGATGACATTCTACTCTTGATCTTGGAAAATGTCAACTTAACAACATCAGTGAGGGCAGGCGCCTTGTCCACACGATGGAGACACCTTCCTTGGTTGCTCAGCCAACTCAGCATAGATATCAAGGACTTCCTTCACGAGCCATATGACCATGACCATCCTGCAGTGGATGACATTGATAAAGCAATGTCATCTCTAACAGAAGCAGTTAGGAGCATGTTGGCACCGACTCGCAGAAAGTCTATTATAACAAGGCTTTGCATTTCGTTCTTCGTAACCAGTGGGTACTCAAACGAGGTTGGCCATCTTGTTAATGAAGCTATTGAAAATGGAATGGTAAAAGATATAGAACTCACATGTGGCGTTCAGATGATGCCCACCACTCTTAGCGAGGAGGACATGGCAAACCATGGGGATGGTGTGATTAGTTTCTTTCGAAACTATCCTAATGTATATTGTTGCCTCACAAGCCTCTCCCTCTACAATGCAAGATTTGCTGAATCGGATCTACATAATCTCCTTGCAAACAAGTGCACGCAATTGCGTTATCTTTATCTAAACTATTGTGATACTGGCTTTTACACAACATTCAAGATTGATGTGCCAGACTCAAAACTCAGTGTGCTAGAGTTTTCTATTGTACTTTTGATTGAGTTGAGTTGTTTTGCCTTCCAAAGCTAAAGCAACTCATATGTGGCTTTTGGTTATGTCCATGTTTACCCATGACTTTGGGATATGTCCCATGTCTTAAGGAAGTAGAATTCTTTGGAGCATTAACGGTTCATAGTGAACCATTTAAGCTAAGTGAGTTTCTATGTGGCACATCATGCATAGATTCTCTAACATTGGATTTTTTTGGACGAAAGGTAATACATATTCATCTTCTGTAATCATGATCATCATTATTTGCTGTCACTTTTGCTTTTATATTAGCCTACCCCAACTTGTTTGGGACTTAAAGGCTTTGTTGTTGTTGTTTTGCTTTTATATGCGTGCAAAATTCGATGCGAAGTTATTCTCATACTGTGTTTTATGTGTATGTATGGCGTCCTTGACAAAAATAGTGTGACAGATCTGGTTCATGGATTCTCTCTGAATTTGTAGTTTGTAGAATAAGATAAAGTGGTTTAAGGTTTTCAGTCCAAAAAATAGGAACAAGTTGGCTCTCTCAAGTATCCTTGATCTAATAACCCTAGCTAGAGCTCCAACAGTTCATGCCTAAATCCACATTCTGGAGCTGAAGCTCTTCTGTTATCAATGATTCATAATGAACATAGTTGGTCAATTACATTCAAAACATTAAGTTTCTTACTTTTTTACTTCTCTCATCTCTGCAGATTTGGTTGCAACCGGAAAAAGATCAACTTCGCTCAGGATTTAGCAATTTGAGGCAATTGTATCTACATGATATTTTTGTTGGATTTGGCCTTATGTGGACAACGACGCTTCTTGAAGCTGCGCCATCTCTTGAGATACTCAGAGTTGAGGTAGTTTTGCTTGTTTCATTATTCTTTAATTTAGAAAAAAAAATATTAAAGAAAACAATCTAGTGACCTTTATAGGTTAGTTTAATATATGCATTCATGGGAGATATAATCCTGAATTTTGCATTTAAGTGTAATTAAGTGATCTTTATAGTTTAATTTAGTATGCATTCATGGGAGATGATAAGTGAGTCCTCTTTGACAAAATAGGGCCCTGTATCATCCAATTGAAGTCTTGCATCATTTTCTTTATTTTGGGTGATCTTATTTTTTTCCTCATGTTGGCTGGAAAGCAACACGTCATTATATTGAGAAGGAAGGAACGCAATAAAAGAACATAACATGCAAGTTCAAACTAAAGGCTTATGATGTGCCACTGAAATTGGGACCACCATTCAAGGGTGGTGCAATATTTGAAGTTCTTTAATTGAATAATTGGTCTATAAACCACTTGTAGTATTAGTTAGAGGGCTACCAATTGGCTATAATGGTTTTTTTTCACGCTGAATAAATGCCACTCCCCTCATCTTGTATATGCTAAGAGGTAGTAGTTGCTTTAATTCCACCTTGCGAAAAGGAGCAACACTTTACGCCAGAATGCTTGGATAATGGTATAATATGCACTTATGATCCACATCCACCTACTATTTAATCAGCTTAATCTACTGGAAAAACTACAACAATTTTAGGATCTTTGATCATAGTACACAAGAACATTTAGATTCGTCTAAAAACAGTGGTAGAATTGCTTAAAAGGGTTACTGTTTCCTCTGTCCTGAATGGTATATAAATCAGTTTGGAGTTAGTAATATGTAGCCACTTCCTAGAATTGTATACAGTGTCACCACAGAGGCTAGCTGCAAAGAAACGGTGGTACATGGGATAACTAAAGAGATCTCATAACTAAACCCATTGTCCAAAGTGGTGGTGCGATTGTGGCACTGTGCATATATTGGTTACTGTGCTCAATTCCATTACTTCCCTGCATATGAAGAATTATGACTAGTGAATCGAAAAGCTTTAGTTTATTTTTATTTACTTATTTATTTAATAAAAGGCATGATTGTGCTTCATCCATGTAGGTATATGACCACCAGCGATGCGAAGACGAAGAGAAAAAGAAGCAGATTTATGGGGAAAGAACTAATGCACCTTGGGAGGTATCAAAGGCTTCGCCCCCCACCACACTCTTCACTGAAAGAGCTCCAACTCTTTGGTTTCAATGGAACAGAGCAACATATGGCATTTATAGGAGCCGTGATGGAGCGAGCTTCTAACTTGCAGGCAGTTGTTCTTAAGGAACATGACTGCAAGTCCTGTGATGCGGTCATTATACCGAATTTTGTTGAATGTGGATTTCCAAAGAACAAGGGGAACAGGATAAGATAAGGAACCGGTTCACCTCCTGTGCCCAAATAATTTTTAGGGAAGACGACTTTTCCAGTGTTTGAGGGTGTTCTTTTTTTTGACACGAGGAACCTCCCCATTTCCATTGATAGCAACGGAAATACAAAGTTGTAGAGTTTTAACAGATTGAGACAGATTCAGAAAGGCTCACAAACCACTGCCTATGTTCTATTACGCTGCTAAGCTTGTGGGAGGTGCGGTGCGGAATAAAAACTGTGGTGGGAAGGTGTCGGTGTCTGTCATGTACTTTTCCATCCACCTGGCGGAGTCAGTCTTTTCTCCATTTTGTGTGGTTTCGAGATGAGAAGAGATACCTAAGAACTATATATATACTTCTATCATTTGTGCCCCCCTCGTAGCTTTGATTATTGTGTTGCCTTAAATTTTCATACAATGCCAGTATGCCACGCTGCGATCTTTGTCCACCCTTTTAAACGGGTAAATTTTATAGAGGTCAGAAAACTACATGAAAAAGAAAGGAGGCTGGAAAAATTTGTTGCTCTGTGGTTGTATCTGTTCTATCTAGGAGCAGAGAAAAAAGTGCGTCACATGGACACTAGCATCTGTCTAAGCATAGACAACAGTATTCGTGTAGAAACGTCTCTATGTAAAGATGCACATGCATGCAATCCAATTTAATCCTCTTCTATTTTTAACGATAATTTTTTCAACAAAGCATCCAATTTAAAAATAGTTGTCATCATTAGAATGTCGTATTTTTTGCAGAATTTGAAATCCATTATGAATATATATATATATATATATTGAAATATTTTAAATTTGTAAATTTACAAGTGTTATACCATGAGCGCGAGCATAGAAAATCGTGATAGTTCTCTTCTTTTCTAAAATTTGAATCACCGCATGTTTGTGTGAAAGGTTCTGTTCATAGAATCTCTTGCATTAGGGATAAATACTAAAATTTGGTTGCATAGAAATATGTTGACACGTTCATAGTAATTTTAAGTTTCTTGGTATTCTCTAAAATTTTAAATTTGAATAACGTCGAGTTCTTGTGATAGCTATGGTTGTATAAACTCATGTAGTCAGGTATTTCTATTTCTATATATAGTATTAAAGAGTAGGTATTTCAATTTCTATTTCTATGCAATATTAAATAGTGAAACATTTCTTCCAACCCGTTTATATATATACCATAGTTTTAGGTATTGTACATATGAGTGGCAGAGTGGGTTTATCAAACTGTTGCAGTCACACAGCACCAAAAACTATGGTGTCTCTGAAGCACTGCGGCCGCTCGACTCTAAGCATGCAAAAGGCAAATGTAATGGCCGTTGTTGAAGACCAAACAACCAACAACGAGTGCATCACATCACACTGAGAGTAGCGGTAGGGTCCTATCGGGTGGACCGTGGATGCCTTTCTACACTACGCGGGCGTCCCCAATGGTTCTTTAGTCTACGAAAAATTTTATTAGTTATTATGGAGAGATCAAATAGCCAGTGACTTCCAAATAGTTAGTCTAGAAACAACTCTATCATAACTTACATAACTCTCTATTATAGTGTTCTTTTTTATTATTTTTAAGCCCCATCTAGCTAGCTATTTAAAAGTTGTCATTAAGGACACCCTAAGCACTACAAACATGGTCCATTCAGCTGAGAGAATGGCACCTTTCTACAAATATGGTCCAAACATGGCACAAACATGGTCCAATCTGTTTTTTTTTTTTTTGAGTGTGTGTGTGAGAGAGAGAGGACATGGTCCAATCTGCTGAGAGCTGAAGATGGCTGCGGCCACACACACAGGCCCGGCAAACCAGGTCGACACACGCGCAAGGGGAAGGATGGGCCGCCGCCCCTGGCGTGCCGGGCCAGCATTGCCAACTAAGGCCGGGCAAAAATAACCGAGAACCGAGAACTAAACCGAAAGAACCGAAACCGAAACCGAAAGAATCGGAACCGAAAATTTCGGTTAGCCGTTCGGTTCTCAGTTCTTAGGAACCGAATTAACTGATCAAATTTCGGTTCTTGGGCTCGGTTAACCGAAGGAACCGAAATTCACAAACAAACCCAATAAACCTTACAACCTAGGCCTAATACCAACTTAACCCTATATATAAAAGGTGGATGACACCCCCTCACAGCCTCACACCCTCACATTTTTTAAAATCTCGACATTGTGCTTTTTTAAAAATCTTTTTTCCTATTTTTTCTATTCTTTTTTTTCTGCTTGTGTAAATCCTCGGTTAGTTCGGTCGGAACCAGAACCGAACCGAACTAACCGAAACCGATTTTGCTCGGTTCCAAAATTTGCGAAGAACCGATCGGTTCCTATTTGTAGAGAACCGAATTTGTGTCATAAACCGAAGAACCGAACCGAAACCGATCGGTTAACCGAACGACCAGGCCGACTGCCAACATTGACGCTTGTGTTGTGCGGCTGTAGGGAGCCGCCGGAATAATCCACCCGACGGCACGACGAAACAGATCTTCACCTCCGCTCCAGTGCACTTCACTTGCCGCGTAGTACTACTCCGGCGTGCGGCGTGGACGGTGGATCACCTGCCTGCCCGCATCGAGCGCTCCGTGTCAGCGGTTTTCGCACGCCGCGACCTGTGCCGGCTCCGGCGGCGGCGGTAAACAAGACAGGAACAAAAGGGGCTTCAAGTTTCAGGCACCTGCTCTGCCTCTGCCACTCTGCTCCGTCTGTTTAGGTAACCTGTATCTTCCTTTCTGTTTTCGGACAAAGCTGCCGACCTGGCCAAGCAAAGCTCTTGATAGCTGGTGGACTGGATGTGAAGTGCCATGGGCTATGAAGGGCCTTTCGGCTCTGAACACCTCCTTTTTCCTTTGTCACAAGTATGTGAGTGTGACAGAGAAGATCATGTCTCGATGGAAGTTTGGCCATGCGGATTTGTACGTGCGAGTAGGGAGGGCCGGCCGGCCGGCCGCCGGCCCCGGTTTTGGTTTACTGCACGGACAGCCCAAACCACAAGTCCGTAACAGATAACCGCCCTGTTCGCTTCGGCTTGTTCGGCTGACAAGCTATGGCTGAAAGTACTATTGGCTGATTTGGTGTGATAGAAAAATACTATTCGTTGGCTGAAAAAGTACGGCCCAAATGAATAGGGTAAACACTGGGAGAAGGCATGTTCGGCTGGTATTAAAGTATCAGCCGGCTGAAGCTGATCTGTTGTGAGAGAAAAATACTGTAACTGATAAGCTGGTACTGTATGTTCAGAGCAACGCAAGTGTACGAGTACTTGGCCGCCAACTCTTTCCGTAACCCAGTCACTTAGGTCAGCGACGGCTGCTACTATTGGAACTCAAGGCTTTTCGAGTTGACACTAGCGCAGTACTCCTAATAAACACTGTAACTGGAGAACGATGAGTGACGTTATGGCCAAAGGAACCCGTTTGTATATTCCAGAAGAGCCCAAGCTTCTTCCGTCTTCTGTTCTTCGCCACCTACTACCGTTCCAACAAGTTGCACGCATGCATGCCATCATTTGCCCAGTTAATTCACGGCGCATTCTGACTTTTTATTAAAAGGCCAACATCCCCGCCGGATTCTGATGCGAGCCGGGTGCGGAGTCCACCCAACAGCCGTACCGGACTGCACAGAATATTTCTGAGGGCTCGTTCGTTTGAGGTTAATCCTGGCAGAAATTAATCTCGGTGAGAGTTAGCTATATAATTTAGTGAAGCATTCCTGGTAGGATTGATTCTCGGGGTTGATTCCATAGGAACCGGACGTGGCCTGAAGGAATCTACGAATTTAGAGTAATTTATGAGAGAAAATCGGTCATGGAAATCAGCCATGAACAGTCCGAACGGGCCAAAAGCGGGGCAGCCTTCTTCTCTCATTTGTTCCTCTGTATTTAATTCAGCCGTATATAGGTCATGTTTAGATTGCAAAAAATTTCAACCCGATGAATAGTAGCAATTTCGTCTTATTTGGTAAATATTATCCAATCGTGGACCAACTAAGCTTAAAAGATTCATCTCGTGATTTCCAACTAAACTGTGCAATTAGTTATTTTTTTACCTACATTTAATGCTCCATGCAAGCGCCTAAAAATTGATGTGATGGAGAGAGAGTAAAAAAACTTGGAATTTGGAGGTGATCTAAACAAGGCCATAGTGTATAATAAATAGATAATAAATGCAGCATTTACTCAGAACCCATTTGGTGCGGCTCTCGGTGCTCCGGCTCCTACTCCTAAGACATTGTGCAACACTATTTTTTACTATAGCATGACAAAAAACGGCCTCAGCTCCTCAAAAAATGAACTAGAAAGAAGAGGAGCCGGAGGAGCAGCACATTTAGAGCTTCTCTCGGCTCCGTCACAGTAGTGCTACAATGCCGGAGATTGAGCCAGGAGATGCCCCTCCAAACGGGCTCTTAGTCCCTCGAAAAAAGACTCCGATACACACTATCCCTTTCCCTTGAAATAGTAACCAGGAAAAAGTGACACACGTTGTAGGTACCTCAGTCCTGAAAAAGGCTTTAGTTCCTTCGTCTAAAGTTTAGTCCCTGTCGTATCGGAGATTTGACATATGTATAGAGTATTAAATATAGACTAAAAAATAACTAATTATACAGATTGCGACTAATTTACGAAACAAATTTTTTAAACCTAATCAGGCCATGATTTGACAATGTGGTGCTACAGTAAATATGTGCTGATGACGGGCTAATTAGGTTTAATAAATTTGTCTCACGGATTACTCAGGACTTCTGTAATTTGTTTTACTATTACTATCCGAACACTCTCATGTAACACCCCGACGTAACATCCCTAAACTTTAGTCCCTAGATTTAAACACCACCGGCATTTCTAGTTTTGTCTCTACTTGACTATCCAAAGTTTGAATAAACCTACCAAGAACGAGATCTTAAAAATATAGGATAAAATTAGTATACTATAAAAAATATGTTTTCCACGACAAACCTCACGAAAGTATCGTGGATTAATCGAATTTAAAATGGTTTAACTCGAGTATATTAAAATTGTA